AATAACTCCAAGGGAATAATTGAGAAAATTTTCTACAGCAGCTCCCCGTGGAGTTTCAATCGTTAGCCTTGGCCGGGAAAATACGTATGCTAAGAAAATTTCATTAAAAGTTGCCGGGAGAGTTGATGATGGAAAAGCTGCGGCTCGTAAAAAGAGGCGTGCTTACAGATGTTGGAATGTTCTCAGATTTTGGTATTAAGCTCAGAAGGGTCTGGAGCTTACAACTTGCACAGAGTCGTGGCAAAGTTTGTGAGTTTCTTGTTCTGGGTTTGGAACCTTTGCATTGTCAAGAAATGCATGAGAAACAGCAGTGTTCTTAAGTGATTTTCTCGCTGGCTATAGCTGCGACTACTACTTGTAGTTACGTCGTCACGCGACAACGGACTTTGTCATCTTAGTCGTTTTGGAATAACGTAACTGGAAATCAGAGAAGTATTAGCGGAAATGATATTGGAGAGTAAAATATTGGAAAATTGCAGGAACGACTTGGTTCGTGGAAGAAGCTGCATTCGAATTTTTCCGTATGTACAGTTTTCAAAACTCAATTATGTACCTATATACATACTTCAAAACGAGAAAAAGTAAATCCACTGAAAGTAGAGGTGGTCCTCTATCCTGGAGAATGATCACAAATTCTGACAGCTTTTTCTATCCGGGAGGAGCCGCGTAGGAAGGAGCCTAAATACCACGTTTTTTATGAACTTTGTCATATTAGCGGAAACGTATTAAAGACTAAAATGTATTTCTGATAATATACATTTTCTATTTAATATTAGCCTAACATATTACAGTTTTTTGTAACTAAGAAAAAATATCTTACAAATTCAAAAAAGTTTCCGATTAATGAAAATCAACGAAACCAAATCGCAAATCACCACTGCGTTACATCGCCTTTTCGACTGGGTTCGCAATTCTGCAAGGGTTCTTGCGGGATTCGGCCGGAGCTTTTCCTTCACGATATGCCACAAGGTTTCAATCTGCGATAGATCTGAACTACTCGTCGTCCATTTTAAATCTGAAATAATGTTTTCTAACATCCAATCTTTTTTCTTTTTTAGCGGTATGGCAAGCGGCACCACTTTTTTGGATGATACATTCAATATTTTTTAAACGCATTTTTTCAATTTGGGTATTAAGTTATTTTGAAGCACATTAATGTATTCATCAACATTCATAATAACTTCCACAAAGGGTAAGTTTCCCACTCCACTTGCTGACATGGATCCCCAAATCATAACTTAACTTTTTTTAAGACAGTTATTCTGAAACACTACTTCAAATCTGGCTTCATCACTGCAAATAATGGAGTTCTATTGATTCGGAGACCATAATTTGTGTTCTTTGGCTCACGCTAGTCTGTTTTACTTCTCAATCTTTGTCAGTAAGGGCTTATCTTTTGCCTAGAGTGGCCTAGAATGCTGAATTGAAAACGAATAATAAAAAATTAGCCTACCTTGTAGGTGTTAAATCCTAGTTTTTAGGCAGCTCTGTGACAAGTTATAATTAAAATACCGATTTCCCTTGATAATCTGTTTTAAGTCTCTTAAGTTCGTATTGTCATAACTTCCAGTTCTGGGTTTTTGAGCCACACATCCCGTCGCTATGTACAATTTAACACAGTCAGCGATTTGAGAAGCATGCTTGCCTTTTGAATGCAAGTGAATTATTACTTTTGTTATTTCGTCAGAAAGAGATCTACCATGAGCCATTTTTGATTGTTAATAACATCAATGCATTGAAAGTTGATTTAGTGTCTTATTAGCAACGTATAATGTTATCATTTGTTTTACAAAGCCGACCTACTCAAAACGAATAAACAGACTATTCAACTTAAGTTGTCTCTATCTAGTATTTTGGTATAAACAAACCATTTTGCAAAAAGACAATGTCGAAATAAAAACGCTTTAAAAATAGCCGCGTCGGTTTTGTTGTCTTTACATAAAAATTTAAAGAAACCAAAAATATTATATTTGAAATAAAATTTTGATTAGCCCTAAAATAAATTCACAAATATCATGTCTTGTGGCGTTGGGAAAACTTCACTGAGACAGGGCTCGTATAAAGAACCTAGTGACTCCTTGTAAATTCGATATTTCAACTACCTAAGGTTAGCGAACTGAGAAAACCTCCTGATGCAGATTGTTCCACAACCTCGACACTTAGGAACAAAGGAGCAGTCGTAACGACCAGTTCTCGATGTACGAAGTTCGACAGAGTTAGGTTGGGAGGCAGGATACTGACTGGTCCGTTTAGCAGGATCAACGCATGGCGGCGTCACAGAGGAGAACTGTCACTCATAAATTGTCATTTGACAAACAAGTTGTGAAGTTGTGAATTCATGCCATTTTCGCCAAAGTAATATGTCCCTGGGTTCTTATCATTGTATGTTCCGACACAAACTTAAGTTTGTCTCTAGACATGAGACTGATGGACCACATGAAGCTTCCTGAGTTTTTCTCTGACTTGGTGAGCGGCTATTATAGTAGCATCCTGAAATACAGTTGCCCGAAATGTAAGAGAACCACACCCACTTCTAGTTATTCTACACCCTCATTTCAAAAGTTAACCCACTGGTTCTGTATATTATACTAAATTAAAGAGTTTTTTCCTGTAAAGTAGCTTGGTATCATTCCGAAAACGCAACTTCGTAGCAAGAACTTCTAATCTAATTTAGAGTGGCTCTTTATTTTCGCAGCAGTGGGTAAAAAGCGTTCCCCTTCACAAAGCCAAAGGGAGAAGAATTTAATTAGAAACCATGATGCGTGACTTCGTCTGCTGCTTTTGCTGCTTTGACACTCGCAACCTTCTCGGAACCCTCCAATTTCGCACCTACTTTTTACAAATTCTGTATTCCGACAGCGAAGATGTGACACGATAGACTAAGGCTGACCATGGACCTTCGCACATTTCTATTACGGCCCGTTAATAAAGGCTTGTAACACAGTTCGGCATACGTGACTTAAAAAGTGACATTATGTAGGTTTTTCCGAAAAAATATCACCTTGGCAATAGCTGTCATTCACTTTACTTCACTTGTAGCAGCTGCGCGAGTTGCCTAAACGTCATGACACTAGAGCTATAAAAGTCGTTATAGGTATCATTGACCTTGGAAGTCTTCTGCATTAGGGGAGCCGATCGTACATTTTTTGTGGCACAGTGGCGGCGCGTGGCTTTTCCTAAACTGTTACCAAAACCAGTTATGAAAAATCTTATTAAAAAAGTTTATTTTGAACCTCCCAAATATAAGTTGATGCTTTTTTAGGTATTTTATTTAAACTATTTTAAAATCAAGGTAAACATTCCTGGACTAAGCGTCTGGAGCATTTGATATACCTCAATGTCTTATGCTAAGACTAATCCAAGCCGTCCGAAAAAACAGGCGGCCTTTCTAGATTTCCGGAATATTTTTGATGTTTTCTGGCAATGAATTTTAACAATTCCCTGTAATTTCCTCTATTGTCAGTCATCCCTTTCAAAATGAACGGTAATTCCTGTGTTGCTAAAAACATACGGTATCTAGAAGTGTGCTGCCCAAAAGCTTGGTTAAGTCAACTTTCGATTATTGTTTTGCCAAACTGAATTAAATCGGCTACACATCTCACATGTAACGGAGAAATTTCTTGTCTCTGTCTCCTATTTAGAGCCCACAACTATTTAAGTCGTTGACTCTCCTGCTGGTCCACCCATTTTTTTCTGTATAAAACAGAAGACATCGCCAACAATACAATTTGTTTTTTGCAACCACATAACCAAGAGTTTCCATATACCAACTTAATTTAAAATATCAAACTACGTTTTTTATTCCTTTTCAAAATTACCTAAAATAGGTGTTGGTCTTTCATTTTCACTGATCTCCTTTTTCCTTAAAAATTATTCAAGGAGAATCGCTTTTCAAGTAGTTGATCCATCACGCAGCGACACTCATCCATGTTTAATTGCACGCACACTACAGCCGGTAACCAAAACGGCTACTAACGAGTGAGAAGTGAGTAACCAAATCAAAAAATGGTCCCCGATGGACTACCAAGTCTATCCATAAATGAAAATGGTAACAACCGACAACCAAGTCGAGGCGAGTTAGCTTCATCGTGTTCGCAAAACCTAGACACTATAAGACGCATTATTTTCGTGGGGCTAATTTGCTATGTACCTAATTACTATTACATATTGCTGTTGGTAAACAAATAAATGAACTTATTTCACAGTAGTTAGTATATATATGATGATATGATCCGATAAAAACTAGGGGCATCTTACGTAAACGTATAAGACTTGATTAGTTTTTAACATTTCAAATCAGTACGCGATGTTACCAAAACTTTGCAGTTGGCTCTTGGACTATCTGGTTTATAGGTAAAAAGAGCGCTATATGTGTGGACCGTCCTTGGCTTGTGGACACTGTCATTGATGGCTCTACATCTACCGAGGCGCTGTTACCAGACTGCTACAGCATATTTTTAAAACTCTACATTTATACTAAGCTGAATGGAGTTCAGCGCTATTCACGGGTTTTGGTGATTACGTAATGAAGTTATACGAAATAAATAAACATATTGACGTAAGGTCAGGCTGTCTAGACAACTGGCAGCCGTGTCAGATTCAAACAGACGTCTTGTTGCTAAAGTCGTATACTATTCCGCGTAGGGACATAAAAATTTAACCCGGCGTTGGTACGGTGGGGTATAATATACCCCAACGCACTTTACCTCGTCATAACAGATCATAAATGGCCAGCAGCTTCGCGAGATTTCGTGTATCTTCGGATAAGACCTTAATAATCACGGAAACATGAAGCGCTCAGTGGATGACTGACCGTCGCCCGTGCTATGTGCTTCACTTTGCGATTGTGCATGTGATACCCCACCGTACCGATACCGCTACATAAGAATTTTCAATCATACCCCACCGTACACTTTTATTTTTAGTGGCTCCATTCATTTTCCAAGGTGAGTTTTTTTGTAATTTTATTTAATTTGAATTACCTCAGGCATATTTTTAGTATGCCGCACTGGGAAAAAGAGCAAGAGAGGTTATTGAAGCTATGGGAAGAAGTATGAGCAGAAGACTCTGAAAATTAGCAGCTAGAACAAGAAGCAGCATCTGGATCGGAAGCAGAAGAAAATAATAGTGAAAGGTCTACAAATTCTGATACAGAGCAAGAAATAGATGAGGAAAATATACTTCACATGTCCGAGGCTACAACATGCACATCAAATGATATATACATGGGAAAAGATGGAGTTACAAAATGGAGCAAAACTTGTGAAAATTTAGCTGTGAAAACAAGAGCTGAAAACATAATTTCTCATTTACCTGGAGTAAAAACAGATTTCAAAAACATCAAAGAGCCCTTGCAGATTTGGAAATGTTTTTTTACGGAACAAATGCTCTCTGATATTGTAAAATATACCAATGACAAGCTAAATGAAAAAGCAAAAAACCATAGTCGCCCTGATACTCAACATCTCACAAAACATACAACATTGGAAGAACTTCAAGCATTTTTGGGACTTCTATATGTAGCTGGTGTTTTAAAGTCGGCAAGACAAAATTTGGACGAACTATGGTCTACTGATGGTTTGGGAGTTGATATCTTCAGGTCAACAATGTGTAAAAAAAGATTTAGTTTGTTGCTACAATGTTTACGGTTTGACAGAAGTGCAACAAGACCAGAAAGGCGCCAGCTGGATAAGCTTGCACCCATCAGAGCAATTTTTGACAGGTTTGTGGAAAACTCTCTCGCTGTATATACTCCCAGTGAATACGTTACAGTTGACGAAAAGCTTGAAGCATTCAGAGGCAGGTGTTCTTTTCGCCAGTTTATCCCAAACAAACCGGCAAAATATGGAATCAAGATCTTTGCATTGGTAGATGCCCGAACATTCTACGTCTTGAATCAAGAAGTTTATGTTTGGCAAGCAGCCATCTGGTCCATTTGAACAAAGTAACAAACCAGAGGATATAGTTTTACGCCTTTGTAAGCCGATTCAAAAGTCTGGACGCAATATAACTTACGACAATTGGTTTGCAAGCTATTCGCTTATGACAAGACTATTGCAAGAATATAAGCTGACTTCGGTCTGTACTCTACGGAAAAATAAAAAAGAAATTCCTGTGCAGTTTTTACAGACTAAACATAGAGCGGAAAAATCATCTATATTTACATTTCAGAAAAATGCTACGCTCGTTTCATATGTTCCCAAAAAAGGAAAAAATGTTCTGCTTCTTTCGAGCCTACACCATTCAGACATGATAGACGAAAGCACAGGAGATGACAAAAAGCCAGAAATTATAACGTTCTACAATTTGACAAAAGGTGGTGTCGACGTTGCAGATGAACTTTCAAGTAACTATAATGTTTCACGTAATAGAAGAAGGTGGCCCTTGACCATATTTTTTTCGTTATTGAATACAGCATCAATCAACGCTTTTGTGGTATGCCTTTCCAATGTTGGAACTCCTATCAAACGTCGCGAATTTATCAAAGAATTGGCACTGAAAATGATTATGCCTCATATGAGAAATCGACAAAACAATCCCAGAATATCTTTATGTCTGAAAAGGAAAATGAACGAAATTACAGGTGCTTCCACTTCTGCAAATATCGTTGATTGTGAGCATCCTGGCAAAAAACAAAGAAAGTCAAAACGATGTTATACATGTGATCGTTCTAAAGACAAGAAATCTTTATACTGTTGTGCACTCTGCAAAGAATTTGTATGCTTAGAACATTCTATGATAACATGCGAATTATGTTTTGAACAAAACAAAAATAATACATGATATTGTGTTAGTATAGTGTAACTTTTTCATATCTTAGAATATAATAGCAATGTATGTATTTTAACATTGTCAAACTTTGACCTATTCCAATAAATGTTTGAATATTCATCGAAACACCAAAAAACGTAGTTTTGATGCGATGGTCTCTTACATTCTCCTTTACACATATAAATTTGATAAAAAACAGAAATGGAATAACCTACAACACCTAAATTGCACCCTTGATGGATTTCTCTTTCAATGAATGCTCATACCCCACCGTACCACTAATGTTTGTAAACGCCACCGTACCAACGCCGGGTTAATAGCTGTGTGACGACTTACAGGTTTGGAGAATCGCTTCTACCGCGAAAAGTACGATTTGTTGGATGAAAAATATATTAAATAAGCTGTAAATGGATGGTAAATATCCCAACCGTGGACAAATATCTAAACGAAAGTAAATTTGAAGAAAAAATGAGTTCACTGCAAGTAACGGTAAACGAATTCACCCAAAAAACGATTATCTACCTGGCAACACCGCATTTATCTCTACTTAAATGAAGCCAGTCGAGTTTAGGCGACATAGCTGTTTTCTGGGCGCCATGTTTTTGGAGTAAACTGTTATCTCTCTCTGATATGATTCGCCTTGTCTAGCCGTCTTCTATTCTAACTAATCTTTGGTTTGGTTTTGATGTGTTGTTGACATCTGCTTTAGAGATGAGACTGCTGAAGTAAAAATCATTTTGCCGCCATTGGTCTGCCATTTATCATAAACCACTGGAACCGCAATTTTGCCAGGATATCTTGTGGATTTATCTTGTAGCAAAAGATAATACTTTCTATTTTATTTACAGATATATTGCTTTTTGAACATGTGACGATAATAACACATTGTTCAAACCAGGAAATAAGATCCATAAAAACAAGTCTGCGTGACGTGCGTGGTGATACCACAGAACTAAGTTTTACTTTGCTTTATTTAGAAGAGGAAAGCAATATTTGTATCCGAAAACATATAAGCATATTCCTTAAAATGTACCATTAGCAAGACACACAGTGTTGTGAATTCCTACGCCGGTGATGAGCCAGAATAAAGGCAAAACGTAATTTTTTTTTTTCACATAACGCTATGGTGAGATATGATTATTCTCTCAATATGCTACAAGCAAATGTCAATGTCAAAATTAACTAACTTTAGCGTATCTTCAAAGTAGAACGGATTGAAACTTTTTATAGAATTTTATGTCAAATATCCAAATCAATTTTTCTCCACATGAGTAGTCTGACAAAAGTTTCTCGCGGTAGGCGACTTATGCAAAATTTAAAACGTTATTAACAAAGAGTAGATATTCCAAAAAAGTCGGTGGCGCAAGAAGTTGTTGTCTTTTTTCTTTTATGGGGGCACAAACATTTTCATGCATATTAGTTATGCTGTTAAAACTATACGTACTCGTACAAAGTCAACAACATAGCACACTCAGAATATACTATTTATAAATTGAAAGTACAACACACAGTATCTCGGTCAGGGGAAAATTGAGTAACTATTGATCTTATTTTTGCATCTACTTTCTACTCCATAAATATAACCACGATTTTCTGAATCACACATATACGTGCGCATTTGCATTGATTCTTTCTTCATACTCCACACCATACTTTGTCTTAACCACAGATTAACAAATAATAGTACTGTCAAGGTGAGCATTTATAGTAGGAAAGTATCCATTAAACAACAAAGCACCACCTAAACAAACTGCGAGTAAAATGTCATCTTAATTTCATTGTACTTTCTCACTACTAACTGAAAAACCGCCATTATTTACCGCATTCTTATGAAGAGAATTAACATTTATCTCCTGGGTAAATACTGAATGTGTCAATTGATTATTGGCACATAACTGTCACTGATACTCAACCGTTAATCCATATTTTAAAACTGAAGTCATTGTTGATGCTTGTATTTATTTATAGTTATTCTAAAGGCTTGAAAGTCACAGGGTACTGGACAAATTGGAGTACGAAGATTTGAGGGAGACGAACACATGTGTCGACGTACATATTATCTCGTCTTCGTCAGTCTATGTCATGTAGCGGTAGCGTCCCTTCCTCATTCACCGTTCTGTGAAGTAGACATTGTGTCGATCTTATTCTGAAAATGGTGCCGAACGACCATCCTGATGACATTCGTAGGGCTACAAATCTTGTCCGTGAAGTGAGAAACGCACTGCACGAACTCCGCAACGAGCACTGGAGCGACCTTCCATAGCACATTAGCGGAACCCTCCGAGTTTCCACATTGCACACCAGCGGAGCTCCTAAGTCATATTAAAGACCTCAAGGTGCGTAAAGCACCTGGGAAGGATCAAATCACCAACAAGGCGTTGAAGCTGCTCTCGCCGAAAGCCCTGACATACTTGGTGACAATAACCAATGCGACGCTCAAAATCCAGTACTTCCCTGCTGGGTGGAAGACTGCTGAAGTCATAATGATTCCAAAGAAGGTGGGTTCGATATTTCTTATTATTATTTCCTCAGGATTACCGTCCCATAAGTGTGCTGTCAGCTCCTAAGCTCGCCGAAAAGGTGATTTATCGTCACCTTGAGAATTTTTCGTCAAATCACCATGTGATTCCTGACGTCCAATTCGGTTTTCGGTCCGAGCATAGCACCGAGCTACAGGCAGTCAGGCTGGTGGAGTATGTAACCAGAGGGTTCACCCTCAGCACGAGTACTGGCATCTTGCTTTTGGATGTCTCAAAAGCCTTTGACAAGGTGTGGCACGCATGCCTCCTCTATAAACTAATCCAAAAGGGTTTTCCTTTTTGGCTTCTAAAATTAGTGAAATCCTTTCTTGAAAGAAGGAAGTTTCGGATCAAAATTAACAATGTCTTGTCAACAACATGGCCAGTACGGGCCGGTGTTCCTCAGGGTTCGGTCCTAGGACCAATTCTTTATTCGCTTTTCATCCATGATGTCCCTTCCCCCAGCAACTGTGAAGTCTACTTCTATGCTGACGACACTGCACTTGTCGCCCAGTCGGGTACTGGTGATCTGGCTCACGATGGGTTGTAGAATGCGGTGGACGAAGTTTTTGAGTGGGCGGAACGGTGGCTGATAAAAATTAATCATTCGAAAACGCAGGCTATTTGTTGTACCAAAAAACGTCGCGGCCCCCCAGCAGAGGTTTCTGTAGACGGAAATAGTGTACCATGGACAACTTCTGCCAAGTATCTCGGCGTCACCCTTGATAAAGGCATGACCTGGCAGAAACATACAGCATCCATAAAAACAAAATTCCAAATTGCGTTTCGGCAACTAAAGGGTTGTCCAATAGGGACGCAGGAAAGTAAACGTCAATTTGACATAGACGCCATCTTTGTTTTCTGTCACCGACATGTCATTTTGTTAGTTGAATGTTTACCATTGATCGCTATGGAGTCGTATTCGATTGAAGACCGCATTAAAGTTATTCAAGAGCACTACAAAAATGGTGCAAAAATAAAAAACACGTTTCGCGCGCTTCGTGAACATTTCGGTCGCAACAACCGCCCAAACGAAACAACCATCGGTCGTCTGGTGCGTAAATTCGAGGCAACAGGTTCTGTGGCAAATCTGCCAGGCGCTGGCCGGCCAAGGAGCGTTCGCACACCGGAAAATATTGCTGTTGTGAAGGAGAGTGTGAGAGACGATCCGAAACAATCAACAACGCGTCGATCCCAAGAATTGGGCATTTCGAGAACCAGTTTGCTCCGCATTCTCCACAAGGATTTGAATGTACACGCCTACAAGATCCAATTGACGCAAGAGCTGCGTCGGGCCGACCATTTTTCGCGCCGAGCGTTCTCAGACTGGCTCCTTGAACACCGCCAAATTGATGCCAATTTTTCACCAAAAATCATGTTCAGCGACGAAGTGCATTTCACTTTGAATGGGACGGTAAACAAGCAAAACTGCCGCATCTGGGCGAACGCAAATCCCCGTGAGTATATATAGTGACTGTGTGGTGTGCATTGTGGTCAAAAGGCATCATCGGACCTTACTTTTTCGAAAATGCGGCCGGGGACGCCGTTACCGTCAATTCTGAGCGATATCACGTGATGATAGAGACTATCTTTTGCCGCAACTTGAAGGAATGGATATGGACGATGTTTATTTCCAACAAGACGGTGCAACATGCCACACAACCAACGTCAATATCCATCGATTGCAGTCCTTCTTCGGTGATCGCGTGATTTCGCGCAGAGGAAATGTGCCATGGCCACCAAGATCGTGCGATTTGACTCCCTTGGACTTCTTTTTATGGGGATATTTGAAAAGCAAAGTCTACGTCAACAAACCGGCCACCCTCCAAGAACTCAAAAACATCATTGCCGAGATAATAATTGCGGACAATTTGCAACGCTCCATGGTATGTCTCAAATGAGACACTACAGAGACACCTTGACATTCCTTACTTGAGGGATTATGTCATGCTTCAGGCGCAGCGACCTTATAGTCAAGCGGAATCGCACAGCAACCCTCAGTGGAGCAAGTTCATAAACATTCAAGGCCACGGCTCGCACTGTAATCAAAAGTTAGCGTGAATCTTTAGTAAACTCAAAATTACACTCTAACAAAACCGAATCAAAAAAAATTTGTTTAGTTCACCTCAAAATTAATCCGTGTACCAAGTCAAAAAGCCTAGGTGTTGCCTCTTAAACTAAGCATATCTGTTTTTCTTTGTTCATCTCCCTTTCTGGGCAACCAGGACTGACAGTCTCGACTAACGTACATCAGACAGTGACTAATGGGCAAAGGTCCTACGGACCGCCCAGACAAACAAATGACCAATAGTAGTTTAGTTTTGCTGCCGAACGACATGTCATATATCATTATCATTATCCCCGGCGCTATGCGCCTCAGGTGCATAAGAGCGCTAGTCCAACAATAGCATCCTTCTCAAAGGTGTGTAATATACTATTATTTAATGATTTGCAAGATTCGTCAGGATCGTCGGTTTAACTGATTATTGCCAGTTTTTGTAATCTAACGTAACGTTAACAAGTGGTAAACATGCGGATTAGCCAACAAGCTGATTAAATAGCCTAGTCTGAGTCGAGCATAGTGTTGTCTATGGTTGCCTTTAGCATTACTCTTCACCGCCATTTCCTCTGTCATGCCATCGTCAGAGCATATTCGCGGAAAATCAAAATAATTAAATCTTCCGTGTAGTGGCACCCGCCGCCCGACTGTGTGCAACGACGTACGTCGCCCGTCAACATGCCGCTCTGATCCACAACGACGTTGAAGCCTTATTTACATTTTTATCGCGACGCCCGCGTCACAGCATATACTACACAGCAACGCAACTCCCAACTAAGGAAGTTGACTCTGCACTTGCTGCTGTTATTAGCTCATAATTATATTCGGCATAAGTAGGTACTCTCGAAAACTCAAATATGTATAAGAAAAAACGTAATTGGGTGAAGTCAATGAAACAGGCATATACAATTAGTCCGTTTGACGACATTGCGATCTAGGAATCCCCCCTGGTCTACCGACAGTACCGACCATCTGGCAACGTTGTTATGACTCATCTTGCCACTCGGTACCGCGCCAGCCAACCGTCGGTTAGGCACCGCACGGGTCTCACGTATCTTGAAAAGTGACATTATGCCGATTTTTTTTACATTATGTAGGTTTTTCTACAAGATACTAACTTAACACTTAGTTGTACGTGTTGCCTAGACGTCATTAGGCTTGTTATCAATCTTTGGCTCTGATGTGATGTAAAATCTGCTTCTGAGATGGCATTACTGGAGGTCTAAGCTGCAAGTTGTATGTGTTGATGATAATTACATTGGGGTCTCGTCTCAAATACACTTAATTGAGATTCAAAGCTAGAAATTAGTTGCGCATCCACTTTTTCTTATCCATTCTGGAAATTACATATACAAATTTGCTGAACTTAAAAAATTAGAGAGATAAGAAATAATTATATGCTCTGTACACTGTCGAATTACAAGCCATATACATGCTAACAATAATTACACACAACGCGGGCGCGGTGATGATTTCCGGTAATTCTCCTCAATTTTTCGTAATTGATAACATTGAACATAACCTCTCTTCAGAAAGCACAACATAAAAATAACCCGTCGGGCACAGCCAATAGGTATACTTCATTGGCAGCATATTCAGTAATGACTTTCTGACGCAGCAAATATCACTGATTTTATACACATGCAGACCAATACACATAATCATCCAGATGCTATTCAAACAACTTTCTTCTCAGAGATAAAAACTACAGACAATGACCATTCGGCCTCACAAAATATATGCAACCAAGAATGCGTGTAGTTTAGTTGAGTGATTCTTCCTTAGATGGACGTTCACAACGATCCTGGTGAGCAAACGTGGAATGACTGTTTGCGCCCTAAACACTTTGCAAGATGGCTTCTTATATGTTTTATTAGGCGTTTTATAGGTTTTTTACATGATACCCATGCCGATCATATTCATTGCATTGCACGTAAAGTGTATGGTGAGAATATTTCTACGAAGTTTTCGGTGCGAATGTAGAGGAATCTATGCTGTGTGCAAGAAATTACCGGGGTCAAAAGAATATAAATATACCAGCACCATATAGATATATCATTCTTCCTTCCCCACTAGAATCCCTATAATGAATTAAATCTGCTTCTGAAACGTCAATTTTTTTTTCATTTTTTGCCTATATCTCCGCCGCCAAAAACTCCAAAGGTTTTTTGGCTTTCTAACCATGACCAACCACGGACACCGTTCTTTCGTGTTCATTTGCAACTCGCACTGACGAGTGTAGCATAGGTTTAGTAATCCTGAAGTCAGAAGCGCGGAGAACAAATAAGTGGGTATAAAACAGAGACGGAAAGCAAACCTGTCCATTTCAATCGTCTCTTTTTAGGCATGTCGGGTGTTTCAAATTCGACGCTCTCCGTTGGGATCTCGAAAACTGTAAGGCATACCTTAAATGGGGATAAAGTTGCCTATTTGGGTAACTAACAAAATGCCGCTCAGAAATTTTCCAAGTT